CCCCAGAGTCCCCCTCTGTCCCACCCCTCCTTACCACATCACTCTTGTTCGTGTCTAAGCCTTCTTCCAGTGTCTTTGCCTTTAAATGGAAACTGGAGCTCCAAGCGGGTGCTTCATTCTATATTCGTCATGCCAGACATGAACTCTGGTTGGCAGACAACAAGAAGGACTTCCCAAGCACTCCTATCTTCTTCAAGACCCCAGGAATGTTGGGACCATGGTGTGAGGCAAAGGGAAGACTATGAGAAGAGATCAGTGAGGCCGTTGCCCTGGACCCAGCCAGAATGTGCCCACCCCTCCCCGATGTACTCACACCCACCACACTCCTCTCCAACCCAGATGTGTATCATACCTGTGCTCTTGTTCTCAACCATTCTGCACCAACCCTTCTCTATTAAAAACTCAACAGTCCAATGTCTGGGCACCTGTCCAGCCTTCACACCCCTCTCACCTTTGGTTAAAAATTTTTATTTATTGTAGTAAAACAGGCATAATATAAAATTTATTGTTTTAACCATTTTAAGTGTATAGTTCAGTGGCATTAAGTACATTCACAATGTGGCATAACCATCACCACCACTGATTTCCAGAACTTTCTCATCATCCAAAACAGAAACTCTGTACCCATTAAATAATAATAACTCCCCATTCTCTCCTCTCCCAGTTCCTGGAAACCACCATTCTACTGTCTGTCTCTATGATTTGCCTACTCTAGGAACTGCATGTAAGTGGAATCATATAATATTTATCTCCTCTCTGGTTTTTATAGCTCTGCCAGTCCCTCCTGGTTTGCTGCTATTATACATTATCTTGTGTATTTAACCTTTTCACATGTGTGACTCCTGTCTCCACCAAACCAAAAACACCCTGAGGGCAGCTTCTCCACAGCACAGACAGGCCTGGCTTGGGGTATAGGCCAGGATTCAGTGAACTGAGTGAGTGAACGAATACATGAGTGGGTGAGCTACTAGAGATATGAGCCAGAGACAGGGTGAATGGGGGAAAGCGCCGAAGCTGAGGGCACCCATTCTGGCCGACCCGAGGAACGTCAAAGTTCATTCCGGACGGGGAAAGAGAGTGGGGCGGTGGGAAGCCCCAGGGAGGCCGGGTCCTGGGTCACCTGTCCCTGGGGAGGCAAAGAGACCCTCCTCAGTACAAGAGTGCGATGGGTGTCCAGCACTGCTGGCTCTGTGCCCAACCTGGTGGCCGAAGACTCTCACGTGGGCTCTGGATTGATGTGAGAGAGGAAAAGAGTGAGGCAGCCTGCGTTGTTCAGGTCCAGACCCCCAGACAGATGATAGACCCTGATCCTTCAGATCACTGATCTTAGCTTTGAGAAAGCCCTGCGCAGGATACGGGCTGCAGTGCCCAGCTTCCCTTCCCCAGGACTCACGGCAGCCTCACTGAGTCCCCTCCTGAGGACTGGGAACCCACCAAACCCAAATAGGGGCCTGGGGAGGAGGAGGATGGGCCAGGGATGGGGCCAAGGAGGATGCCAGGAGGATGAGGAAGGGGATGGGAAGAGGCCCCTGCCAGGCTGGACCACACTCTCTCTGGCCCTTCTAGCATTGCTTTCAGTGGGAAGAGAGTGCCTGGGAGTAGGGGCTTGTTCTGGATCTCTCTCTCTTTTTTCTCCTCCCTTTGTCTCTCCAGCACCCTCTCCTAAGCCTCCCAGCTGAGAAGACTCCTCTCAGCGGTTGCCTGCTCACTCCACACAGGTATGAGCTGACAAGGGCTTAAAACAGTGATGAGGACCATTCAGCTCTCACAAGAGACAGAATCCCGTTACTAAAATCAAAGGACTGAATCTCTGATGGTGGGAATTTAAATTCTGGATGGAAGTGGGGTCAGGGTCTGAGGGACTTCACCGGGACCTGTTAGACTTTTACTCACGGGGACTCCAACGGGTGTAAGGGCTGAGACAGGGGTCTGAGAAGTGTGTGTGAGCGGCGGGGGAGGTGTTAATTTCCAACTGTTCTGTTCTGAATGGTCGAGTGTGAATGAGCACCTACCTGCTCATGCCAACCTGAAGCAATTTCTCCCACTGTGCTCTCTGCTCTGCCATCAGGAGCAGACAGGAAGGACATCTGTGCTGGGGCAGGGGAGTGGGCAGGGTGCTGGAGGGCAAAGGGGCCCAGACGCTACAGGACAAGTCAGAGGCCTGGGATGGGGATGGGGCAGATCCACAGTGGGGGGTGCCCTGCAGGCCAAGGTTCAGCCTGGGTATTACAGGTATAGCCCCCTCACTGTGGGGTGTGATCTGGGGACAGCAAGGCCAAACTGTTCTCACTCTTCATTGTGTGTGTGTGTGTGTGTATGAGCTGCTTTCTGTCTTCAGGAAAGACAGGATCAAAGGGGGAGAGCGGTAGATGGGAGGTCTGACACCCTTAGCATTCGAGGGGAAGCAGAGATGTAGGTCAGGAGCTCTGGGCTCCCGTACCAGACTCCCCTTGGGTCTCAGTGTTCCCAGCTGTGAAATGGGGCTGAAGAACACATCTTGCCTTACCGGGCTTACAGTGCTATGGGGTAGATCAGACCAGCCCTGTTGGGGCCGGGGAAGCCCAGAGCTTAGGCCACCTGTCTCGCACCCTGATCATACTCTGGCCATGACTGGAGTTGAATCTGTTATCCTGGGCTGTTTGAAGGCTGAGGGCAAGGGAGAAGGGCTAGGTCCCGAGACCACATCTTCTTGGAGCATTGCTAGTCCTCCTGGGGCTACTGAAAGGTCTGAAAATAGACGGTAATGGGGGGAGGGGAGCATGTATGGAAGCTAGGCCCAAGCTGGGCCTGACCCTGACCTGGCTAATGGAAGAGGATCCAAAAATAGTCGTTGAATGAATGAATAAATGAATGAATGAATGAATGAATGATGACCTAAGTGGAAGACCAGCCAAACCTCTTTAGAAACAAGGAAGGGTAAGGAGGTCCCTAAAAATTTCCCTTAGGATATGTAAGCCCTAGTTCAGGGATCACTACTCTTGAAGGGACAGAAAAAGAGAGAGAACACCAGAGAATGTGGGCCAAGGTTCTGCCCTACCCCATGACGGTCAGGGAGACATAGGCCTTGGGAAAGTTCTGTCCTCCCTACAGCATGCCTACATGGTGTGTGAGGAGCAGAGCAAGGTTAGGGCAGGGTCGCATGCCTGGCAAGTGCTGGAAAAGATCAAGGATCACCATTATCTTCTTTATTCCCATCATTCCTGCCATCCCAGGGCAGGTTCTATACAAACTATTTCAGCTATTTTTGAAAGACCCAGTTGCTGTTTTCTTTCTCAATTTCTTCCCCAGACACCCCTGCCTCACACCATCAGGCCAGCCAGAGTGGCCAAGGGCAGAGCTCGGGGCCTGCTTAAAGTTTGGCCCCACCCTATGCCTGAGGGTCCTGGTGCTAACACCTCCAGAGCTGTAGCAGGGGATGAAGCTGCCCTTCTGAATGTCTGTTCCATACAGTTGGGTCTTGGCAGTGGCTTCATCGAGTTTCCCAGACTCAGTGGGTCGGGGACAGGGTGGTGGAAGAAGACACACAAGAAGAAGCGTGACTAAGGGGCCGACCCTGGCCATAAATCCAGCCCTCCGCAATCACTTGGCATTGCTCCACTGGGGCTCCCAGCTGATAATTAAAGCTCATGGTCCCTGTGAGCCCTTCCAAGGAGATCAATATAATAAATCTTCCCTGTTCTATTTGACTATTTCATCGCCCTAGCAAGGACCACTGCCTGCCTGCTCTCTTTGTAAAGATGTGATAACAAGGGTTGTAAGTGGACAGAGAGCCAGAAGGTCTGGGTGATGTTCCCAGAATTATGGCTGAAGTGCTGAGTCTCCCAGGTGAGTCACTAATCTTTCTGGGTCTTTGCTTCCTCATCCTGAGGCCCTGGGCATGCGGTTCTTCTTAGAACCCAGGGAAGGTATCGACTCCTGGAGCCATGGTTGAGGAGTTGCTTAGAAAGAAGCCAGTGCCAGGGCCTGAGGGAGGGAGGGAGGAGGAGAACTAATCTGAACTGAGCACCTACTATGTGCCAGGTCCCTTGCTATGTGCTTTATGCCCATCATGGCACTTGAGCTTCCTAATGTCCACACTAGGAGAGACAGTATCTAAGTTTTGCTGAGGAGGAATGGAGACCTAGGGGGTTATAGATATACTGATGGTAAGCAGCAAACTTGAGTTAGGAACCCAGGCTAACTTCACATTGTTCTTTAAACAATCATATGGGTCTGTGATGCATACTGAGAGGGAAAAGTGATGCTTCTGTCCATCTCTTGCCAGTGCTTGGCACACAGTAGGTGCTTAATAAAGTACTTGAATAATGAAAGAATGAATTCTCCTTTCTATCAGTGAGCAATGGGGAGAAGGGTTGGGCAGGGGACACTGGGCAGGGAGGTTTGGGTCTTGGACTGAGGGGGTTATTGCCTTGGAATGCACCCCTCTAGGCTCTGGCCCTGTTGTCCACTAGAGGGGTGCATTCCAAGGAATACTGTCTCCCACACACCCCAATTCTCCTGAGCATTCCTCCTGCCAAGGCAGCATGGAGACAGCACAGAATGAACTAGTTTGGGAGACAGGGTGTCCTAGGCTAACCCTTGACTCTGCTCCTCACTTACTCTGTCACCAAAGATGAGAGGATTCTCCCCTCTGGGTCTCAGTTCTATGTATGCAAAATATGATTCACCTTGAGAATTAGAGATGGTGTGTGTGGTGTCTAGCTCAGGACCTGGAATATAGTAGGTGCTCTGTAAATACTGTATTTCTTTGATTTTTAGGTACCTTCCCTGTTTTTAATGGTGTATTCATTTAATGTGGTAGATATTCTGTGCTCATTGGGCTGTTTTATGGAGATGAACTTGAAGAATTCCAAGTTCTTATGGAAATCCTTCCTGTCTATCTGCTGGGAGCTATGTTTCTTGAGTCCCACATGGCCCCAGATTTGTCATACTTCTGGGTGAGCCTGGGATGCCCAGAGTTGCTCTGAAGGAATAGCTGGGGTCATCTAGGTGGGGCCCACCTGCTCTCTACTTGTCCCAGGCCCATATGAGCCCAGAGCCCAGGGCTCTGCCTCACTTTCACCAACTCAAAGTGGTAGGGGTGGAAGACACGCAAGTACTTGATGGGGATTTGGAAGGACAACAGCTCCTCTTTCTTTTTATTGTCCACCACCTTGAGAATAACTTCTGGAGAGAGAGAAAAAATGAACACAGGCTCATGGCAGGGCTCAGGGCATCACTGTCCCTCTGAGTGAGGTGAGACAGTGAGAGGTGAGCAGGGACTCAAGAATCAACATGCATGCACATGTGTGGAACACATTGATGCACACAACTTCTGAGTGCATCTACTGAGTCCCTTCACAGGGTAAGGATCCATGCTAGGTGCTGTTGGGAACAAAAGATGCAATTCTCTCCTGCTCCAGAAATTCCCAGCCCAGAGATGAACACACAGAACTGAGCCCAGTCCCCTTAGCAATAGACACATGGACAGACACAGAGGCATACATGTAAATAGGGGTAGTACCCCTTCGCAGGAATAAGGCCCCTTCCTGTGGTCATGGACATTCTCACTAGTTCCTTAGGCAGGAGGGGGGAGGGCTTATCTCCCATATTTTGTAGAGGGGGGGGGGAAATGAGGCTCAGTAAGAAAAAGATGTTCTAATCAAGAACTCTTTTAATGCAAATATCAATAAAAGTCTATTCCAAATAAAGGAAAACTGGTCTAAACACTAAGAATGATGCACCATTTAGGAAGCTCCTTCCAAAGAGACTAGGTATTTTCATCAAATGCATGAACTTTGGGATGAACTCTGAGGAGAACACCACTGACCTGGAAATAATCATGGTGATCCTACTTAGTGAACACCTACAGATTGCCAGGCAGGGGGATGGGCACTCCTGATTCACTATTCCAACAAATTTCCACCACAGACCCTCAAGGAGGAATCACCATTTCAGTTTTTTAAGTGCAGACACTGGAGCTCAGAGAGGTGATATAACTTGATCAGCATCACACAACTGGTAAATAGCTGATGCTAGAGGCTAGATTTAGTGACCCTGGAGTCATCTTCCCAGTCTGGAGAACTATGATTTGAGGAAGAAGAGGAGGGGGGAAGGAGGAAATAAAGAAGTAGATGGAGGGAGGGAGGGAGATAAAAGAGAGATCTAGAGGAGAATGGGAAAGGGAGAATCGGGGTAGATGGATGAGGGAGATTTCTGGATAGCCCTTTGCCCTCTGCCTCTCTTCTTGAGACAAGGACGTTTCAGCACCAGGGACAGCTGCCGGCCCTGCAGGCTCACTGGGAGCACAGCGCTGCTGGGTCACTTGAGCTGAGTGGGTCATTTGGATGACGGGGTGGAGGAGGAGCTGAGAGCTTTGCTGATTACTCTTCCTTATTTCCTCCTCCCTACAGCTACCGTGGATGCACAGAAAAAGAAAGACCCTTGCCAAAGTCCCTCAAGAGCCGGCCATTTGGGATTCATGCTCAAAGGAAAGGGGGGAAATAGGCACTGAAAGGACCTGAAGCTGCCTCGAAGAAAGGAGAGTAGGGAACTTCTCTGGTGGCATAGTGGTTAAGACTCTGCACTTCCACTGCAGGGGGTGCAGGTTCCATCTCTGGTTGGAGAACTAAGATTCCATATGCTGCACAGCCGAAAAATAATAATGCAATAAAACAGAAATATAGGGCTTCATTGGTGGCCCAGACAGTAAAGAATCCACCTGCAATCCAGACAAGGTTCAATTCCTGGGTCAGGAAGATCCCCTAGAGAAGGGAATGGCCACCCACTCCAGTATTCTTGCCTGGAGAATTCCACGGAGAGAAGATCCTGGTGGGCTACTGACCAGGGAGTTGCAGAGTCAGACATGATCGAGCAAGGAATATTTTCACTTTTTAAGTGATTTATTAAAAAAAAGGAAGAAAGTAGAGTAAGGCAAGGGATGAAGTCAGTAGACCTAGTTTCTAGTACCAACATACTAACTTGCTTTGTGACCTGTAACCAGTTACTTAACCTCTCTAAGCTTCATGTTCCTGCTCTACAAAATGTTAATGCTTTAAAGAAGAAAAACTCTGTCCGTCTCCTAATAACTGCTGTAGGGAGGGGGTATATGTTTTTCAACCTATAAAATTCTTAGCAAATAAATGTTCCTTGTAGCAGTCACCCTTTTCTTGCTCATTAACCATCTGTAGTGCTCCATATGCTCACCCAGCCCTGAGCAGACTCAAAACACTCAGCTGGGGGATTCCAATGCTCCCAGTCAAAGTTACAAGAGTAGCTGTGAAGCCTGCAGCCCCTCATGGCCATTACCCATGGGCCCTGAGTCCTCAAATCCAGTTGGAATTTGCTGAGGCCAAACAAAGGGTGAGTGCCTGCATTTCTCACAACCCCCCTCCCCAATCTCTGGAGCTCTGTGTGGGCAGCCAGCAGATGAGCTGTAATTGGGGGAAATGGACAGCCATCCTCCCTGTTCCTGTCTCCTTGCTACAAACACGCCTCATCAGCTTCTTTTCTGGGCATTGTGCCCCTCCGGCCTCCTACCGCTCCCTTTGTGTGGCCGACAAGCCATTTCTGCCGCCAGCCTGCTCTGGCCCTGACACGGGGTCTGCAACTCCCCTTTGCTTTTCATTAACACATCCTTGAGTTACGTCCCACCCTTCTCCCACCTCTTGGCCTGGCCCCCATCTCCCCCACCTCCCACTGCAGATATCACCACAGCAACCGGTTCCAACAAGCATCCAGCTCCTTCAGGCTGCAAAGAGGCTCCTGCGAATACTCCCTGCCTGCCCACAAGGTCTTCCACCCTCTTGTCCCTCCTGCATGGAGTCCTTCTTCCCCCTCTGCTACACAGATGGGCCCCAAGGTCACTGACTCATCATGCCCTTTCCTGTAATCGCCCCAGATGTGGAGAGCCCAGGGCAGGATCACAGCCCAGGTCTACTCATCCAAACCTGTCAGCCTGTCAGCCACACAGATGTACACACACACACACACACACAAACTATATACATTATGTACCAACAGGCATACACCAGCTCCTAGATAAATCTAGCTGCACACATAATACACTGTTGCAGCCAGACGTGTGAATGCACACACACATACAAGACACACAGATGTGTATGTCAATAGGCACAAGCACGTATTCACAAATGCATATGAACCAGCATGTAGGTGTTCATACACAGGCATACGAGTGTACGTGCATGAGATCCTTGGTCAATTTCTCCTCCTTTTCCACATTTTCTCAGCAGCTCCACGTATCCCTCTATAGGCAGAAAAAAAAAATCCTGGGGCTTCTTTCTCCTGTTACTGATGCTCCTCTTCATCCCTTCCCTCTCTCCCTTTCTCCCATCTTTAGCAGCTGGGGGCCCATCTTTGTGAGGTAGACAAGGAGCTCTGTCTAAGTCCCTGGCAAGGTTTTCAAGGGGAGGAGTGAGGCCTGTCATCTGAGGTAGGTCACCTGCAAGATGGGAACCTGAGACTGACCAGATATGGCAGGCACCTGAAAGTCTGCGCTAACAGAGCCTGAGGCCGGCACCCACAGTTGTCCTGGCATCAGCCAGTCCATACTCTTGTGTGCCCAGAATGGAAATCAGATGGGTCCCCAGTATGGAAAACACAAGTGTGCATACATATGTGTATACATGCATGTGTGCATACTAAGTTGCTTCACTCATGTCCGATTCTTTGGGACCCTATGGACTATAGCCCCCCAGGCTCCTCTCTCCATGGGATTCTCCAGGCAAGAATACTGGAGTGGGTTGCCATGCCCTTCTCCAGGGGATCTTCCCGACCCAGGGATTGAACCCATGTCTCTTCTGTCTCCTGCATTAGCAGGTGGGTTCTTTACTACTAGCGCCACCCGGGAAGCCCATATGTGTGTACCTTAGATTGCCTGCAGTGTCAGAATCTGCCAAAACACAGGGCCTAGAAAGACTTCCGGGGGTGAAGGAGTGAGAACTATTAGGTAGCTTCTATAAACACAACTCCCGACCTCAGGAGCACAGACATTCTACTGTCTGACAGCGGGCAGTGCCTGGGGAGGATGAGGCAGGACAACACAGCCATTCCAGGGAAGCAGGGGACCTCAGGAGCTACGCTGAGAGCATGGAGTCCTGGGCCGAGGTTCCCCCCTTACCGACCACTTGAACTTGAGTCTGTGACATAAGTTCCCTCAACCTCAATGTTCTCATCTCAGCAACGGGAGCAGCACTCCTCCTCTGGGGAGGGGTGAGCCAATGAGCAATGCGCGGGGACGTTCCAGGAAGCAGTTATGTGCCATTTCAGTGGGAGACGGTGGTAATAACAACCATGAAAATAATAACAACGGTCGTAAAAAAGATAAGCTTTCATTGTCTGGAAAATTCATTTATGTGGAACAACTCATTTTTCGAGCAGGCTGGGGAGATGAGGCATGACAGCATTATGATTTTTTTTCCTCTAAAGTGCTTTTAACTGAGCCCAAGGAGATGTTCAGGTGGTTTCCAGCTGTGTTGAGAGGGAGCCTGGTTCTGCCTCACACTCCACCCCAGCACGCCAGCCGCACCTGCCCCGCCTCACCTTCATGCCCACATCCTCTGCTTGGATCTCCACTTTGACTATGTCCCCCCAGATGGGGGCTTTTGTGGGCTCTGAGGGCATAGATGTGACTGCCTTGGAACTCCTGTTCTTTTCCCCCTCAGATGTGGTTTTCCTGGGGAGAGGAGGAGCAGGCTGAGTCAGAGGGAGGGGGTCCTGCCTATTGTTTCCCATCTTGGACTCCACTGTCCATAAATCTGAGCAAAGGGTGGACAGAGCGTGAAGCACTCCCTCCCAGGTAGAGACACTCATGTCATCCCAGGCCTAGGGAATGCCAGGCCTTGCTCCTTGGCTGCCCTGCCTACCCGGGTGACCAAGGCACTAAAGGCTGAGGGTGGGGATAGAAGTGGAGGGAAACACCTTTTCTGACTTCCTGTCCCTTGCCAGGTCAGGGCGGCCCAGCAGGTAGCTGAGTGCATAGACTCCTGTCTCCTGACCCTCTTCTGAGGTTCTGGTGGGAGGGGGGCT